GCAGAGAGAACCTAAGCAAGCTTTGGGGTTTCGCCAGCTCCTTGGTAGGCCAAGTTGTCGCCGGCGGTGAGATTTAAGCATATTGACATATTGCAGCTGTGGTAGAAACGTCAGCTGAGGCATTCCCCTTCTACATGTCAAGTGGCTACCAAAACAACACACGTTAAAAAGGTACACCGCGCGACCGAATGTGCAGGGGGTCATAGTACTGTCAACCGCTGACGGGAGATACAGTCTCTTTGAAGTCTTTTCGGTCCAGTTAAGGATAAATGCCAGCAAAATGCTTATCCGTCCGTCTCATTGATGCACGTCTAGACTGCATCTGTGTCATATTTCACATTTTTTACCACTAGAGAAAATGTGATATACATGACGATTTTATCCCTTGAGAATCCTTTGGGGTTCTACTTGCTAAACATTGCAGCTCTGTCATCTGAGTCGTCTGACCGTTTCTCTAACGTTCTGTATTATTTTCTTCAGGCCTATATCTAACAGAAACAAAGAGGATGTAGACCAGAAATCTCTTTGATACAACCGACAAAGACAAGAGAGACTGAAATTGCCATTTCTGGCTTATTAGCCGTCGTCAGCCAGTCATACTCAACCCCGAAGTGTGAAACATCCGTGGCTCGAACTCGAGACCTGCTTATTAGAATTCCACACCCCTAACCACTGGGCCACGGGCCCGTTGACCTGTCGGTTTTTCGATCGGGAATATACACCGATCGTTCTTACAGAACTCACTCGTTACGTTGTGCCTCATGGACTCTCTCTCGAGCCCAGCTAGAAGCCTGGACTTCTAATAAACAGGTCGCGAGTTCGAGCTTCTGGTGTTCCACAATTCACTGTTGGGTATGACTGGCTGACGACGGCTAAAAAGCCAGAAATGGCAATTCCGGTCTCCCTTGTCTTTGTCGGTAATATCATTCTGCCTATATCATGCACCGCTGTGCGGCTGCTAATTGGGATTGAGAGAGAGTCCATATGGCACAACGGAACAAATGAGTTCCTTAAGAACGATCGGTGAGCGCTCCCAACCAGAACTATCTTTGCCACATTTAAATGACACACACACTTCAATGACATAGATATTTATGTATATTACTGTTATGCGCGTATTTTTATTTTTTGTGCACGTGAGCATGGGTCTGTGAACATGATCTTTGAAACTTCCAAACTAATTTTCTCGCTGATGGCCTTACATAATGACCTTTCTACAATACCCTTTCCTCGTATTTACGGCAATAGATAAAGTGATATAATGATTAAGTCATATAATGTAACACACATCATCTAACTCAAAATGCATGCTTGGCTTCTTTGAGCTTTATTTGTCTTCTTTTCGTCTGGAGATGTGACGCCACCCCAATCCTTTTTGTAAATGACAAACTAGCGTGTCGAGGTGAAACACGTTTCCAGAATTTTGCCTGAAATATAATTTTAGGCATTAAACAGGAATTAAGCAGTGCCTTACATTCGGTTAGCTAGAGATGATTCTCAGGCATCATTCCACCATTAAGTAATATATTAGGCAGTTAAATCCTGACAGTATTTGTTCCAAATTTGCTGTTTCTGATAGCCGAAGCTGTACTTAAACTGAGTACTTGTCTGGCATCTTACTCAACAATATATTCATCCCCGATAACAGATGAAGTAACAAGGTTTTTACTAACTGAAATTGTCAGTTCTGGTTTGTCTGTACCAAGACGCGTATTATATACAAATATCCTTAATGACTTTGTCTGTAGATAGTGTAAGGAAACGACGATTTCCTTACGCTGCTCATGCTTAATAATACTAGTATACGTCTGTGTGGACTTGGAGACCGACCTCTCTCAGTAACAAGTAATAATCTTCTTGAAAAGCGCCGGCGCGCATTTATGGCTCTGACTCTTGCGTTTTGCATAACTGCCTTGGTGAGAAAAACACTTCAAAGCCGCATGCGGTTAGTGTTACCAACAGATCACCTCAAGTTGCATCAAAGGGTGACGCGAAAATCGTCCTTAACACCCTCTATAAATAAGAACATTTGGTGTAGCTTAAGTTATGACAAGAAGATACCGAAGGAGACAGAAACGACAGAAAATAACGCTACTTTTGCCCTGTTCTAAAGGAGACGTATTCTCCTACCGATCACACGCAGGTTATTTGAAAAAATTGCGCGACCGATTATACCAAATCATAACTTTCTTCGGTAATTTTATTATAAATGCCTACTATAACCCTAAACAAACATATAACTTGGACACTAATGTATTTACTACACACACTTCGGCATCTTAAGACTGCCTGTGACGTCTGACCACATTTGAGACATCTGTTAAAGTTTTGACATTTGTGAATTATACAGTTAACAAGAAGATTCTATCGATTGCTTTATGTTAAGTATGACCTATTATACCTATTAATTTTAAGAATATTTTGACGATTTTTTCATCGGCTTAGAGGGGCAATGGCTGAAGTTTGCTAAGTTTGTTTCATTTTCCTTGTTGACAGTAGACAATAAACTTTCTAGTATATCGGGAATGATAAAGCTTTTTTGAATTTATATATCTAAATCAACAAAACTTTGAATTTATTAATTACTTACAGAGTCAGATAATAAGTTGTTATAATGTTAATCGGGTATATTTGGCAAAATTCACCAGCTTGGTTAGTCGGAGTCTTTAAAGCAACATAATATTTGATTTTGCACATCAAACTGTCAAAAGCATACAGTGAGCGAGAACGCTTGCATTAAACACAATAAAAAAATTTGTATTGAGAAAGACACAGGGGCAGTTCGACCGTCGTAATCCACGACATCCACGGTACACCCAACCGAGTGAGCGAGGCCTCGACGGCTTTTGCGTAAAGTTGTTGATAGCAAAGCAGAGCTGAGCAGCTTCTACAATACCACGTCCGTCCCCACTCCCATAGATCATCTAACAAGACAAATAGGGGTGAGGTCAGGCGCTGTGACTGACAAGGCCACGGAGTCCGTCTGCGCATCCGGTCAGGTTAATCGCACCAGACGTTCACTAAGAACGGCTCCAATCTAATGAGTGTTAGAATGTCACGAACGGTCTACTAAAATGGAACTAATAGGCTAGCATACGTGACAGTTCAACCACGAGGATATCCACCGTGTGCTCCATAGCAGGGTGACAGTATGGAGGACGAGTTGCGCTTGTATTACTCTATACTGATAGGTACTTTTTGAAGCAATTACCACGGCATCTACCTGCGCTATCCCCTAAAGTTCTATTCTGTTTTTGAAACCATCATCTGGCGTAGGTGTTGGTGGAGTTCTGTCGACACATGTTGCCACATGGTAGTTTTGGACAGCCCACTTGCCTCACATTTCTGAAACTCAGATTCGATGGATGCAATCAAATTTCCGGTTCAGCATCTGTTGTGCTAAACTTTACGCTAGAGAATATAGCTGTTAGTTGTTGCGGAGTGAGGTGATGATGAGAGAAATGGGCCCATCAGAAAAGGCCCGCTTTGGCGAAACTAATTTTACAAATTTTCCAGACCATTTGTCATTGCCTACCTTGCGGCGAAACCGCGCACTTTTGTGGATTGCTGCACTGAGCGTTCCCAGCTCTGTGCAGTAAAGACCAACTGGCAAGTTGACAAAGCACATTTTGTCATTCAACGGTGTTTGTAAATGCAAACGTGAAATCTGCACGTTAATCTTCATTTAAATGTCAAATTCTATTCCTGAAAGTGTACTGTTGACATTTTTACGAGGTTAATCTAGCTCGCTTATCCCGACGATGGCAAACATGTCGTCTTCGTAGCGTATCCATAGATATCCGATAAATATAAGAAGATAATTAGCCCCTAATTCGTAGATTATGGTTTTTGCCAGAAATGGGGCCGAGTTGAAACCATTGGGGCGCAGGTTGAATACGTCGTTCATGTCCGAGTGACAAACCTAATTTGACGAGTCGAAGAAAGTGTTTTGGAGAAGGTCCAGAGTCAGAGGGACAGAGAAGTCGTCGAAAGCGTTTCCGTAGATATAGGATATCTGTAAGAAAAGACCTGGCCCCTAATTCCTGCATTATGGCTTCTGTCAGAAATGGGGCAAAGGGTAAACCACAGGGACGCAGGTTCAGATCAGATCAGATTTATTAAGGGAAAAGTAGGCGAGCGCCTTTGAACTCCCTTTTGGTTACAATAACGTCATAAATAAACAATGTGTAAGGCAAGTGTGAAAAAAAATTAGGTAAGTAATTACATACAACAAGCATTGCTCACTGGTATGAATTTGTCTGTGAATGCCTTCTGTGTCAAGTTTGTACAATATCCAGTACGGCAATGAATGGACCAAGTAATATCAAAGCAAGCGCATATGTGGCGGTCAGGAGATAGCGAAAATTGTAAAACGTAATGTTACTAAAATATAGGGAGTAGCATGCTTTGTAAAATAAAACGTTGGATTGGACGGGTGGCACAGGGGGGAATTCGTTAGTTTCTGATGCTGTGGAGGTACATATCCCTGTACTGGTCAAGCTTTCTCTTAAATGAGTCCACGGATGAGGACATGACGACATCCACAGGTAGAGCGTTCCATGTCTTTACCACTCTGTGGCTGAAGAAGGACCTTCTTGCGTCCAGTCTCGCTCCTGTCACACGTAGTTTCAGAGGGTGTCCTCTCAAGCTAGTAGTGGTGGCCAGCTCAAAGAAGTCGCCGGATGCGAGGCAGCAGTCCTGACCCCGTAGCATTCTAAACGTTTGAATTAAGTCGCCACGGAGTTGTCTGTAGTCCAGGGGAAAGAGGTTAAGATTTGAAAGTCGGGTTTCGTAAGGTAGGTTTTTATGACCTCTGACAAGCTTCGTTGCCCGTCGTTGGACTTTTTCGAGGGTGGTGCGATCCTTAACAGTCCAGGGTCTCCAGGCCTGAATGGCAAATTCTAACTGTGGGCGCACAAACATCCCGAAGACCTTGCGGAAGCACTCTTCATCGAACTTGGCAAATGCCCGCTGGACATTGCGGATTTTGCTGCTTTCAATCAGTGGAATGATGGCTTTAGTGAAGATGTTATCCACACCCCTAGGTCTTTCTGAACCTCTACCAGTGGCAGCGGTGTGTGATTTAGATAATACGTCTGCCGGTGCGCAGAGCTGGTTCTGCCAATCCTCAGAATGTTGCATTTAGTAACATTAAATGGGAGGAGCCAGTGGCCTGACCATTTTTCGAGTCGGTCTAAGTTTGCCTGTAAATTTGCTTCATCGTCCTCGTTGCGGATGACGGTCCAAAGCTTTATATCGTCAGCAAACATGGCAATCTTGCAGTCCAATCCATGGATACAGTCATCAATATAGATGAGGAAGAGGATAGGGCCAAGAACGGAGCCCTGAGGTACTCCGCTCGTAACCGTCACCTCTGCCGAGTGCTGGCCACCAAGACGAGCAGTCTGGGACCGACCGACCAAAAAGTTTTCAATCCACTTCAAAAGCTTGCCTCTTACCCCTATGCGGCTGAGCTTGTGTAGGAGACGTTGGTGTGGCACGCTGTCAAATGCCTTCTTGAAGTCTATGTAGGCCACATGCACAACGTTTCCTTCATCAATCGCATGGGTCCACTGTTCAAGACGGTAGAGTAGATTGGTTAAGCAGGACCTCCCTCTGCGGAAACCGTGCTGTGCATCGCACAGAAGATGATTTTGCTCTAAAAACCGCATCAGTTCGCGTTTGATTATTCGCTTCATAACTTTGCAGCATATGGAGGTGAGGCTTACTGGTCGGTAGTTGTTTGCGGAAGCGCGACTGCCATTTTTATGAATCGGTGAAATCCACGCAGTCTTCCACTCAGGAGGCAGTCTGCCTGCATCAAGAGAGGCTTGGAAGAGGACGCTCAGAGGTTCTGCCAATTCTGTGGCCAATTCCTTCAACAACTTTGCCGGTATTTCGTCAGGACCGGGCGAAGTCCCTTCTTTTAGCTTCAGTAATTCCTGTTGAACAATAGGTTTTGTGAGAACCACTGAGTCAATTGTCGGGACAGTGTCCACATTACAGTGATCAGTGGGTACAGCGACTTCTCTCGTAAAGACCGACTGAAAGAACCTGGACAGATGCTCAGCCTTTTCGTCGTCCTTGTAAAGTTCAACGCCATCATCAGTTTTTAGCATAGGGATGGGATCCCTGTTGCGAGTACTTTGTCTTATGTAGTTGAAGAAAAGCTTTGGGTTTTCTCCTGCACAGTTTAAAAGGTTACCCTCGAAGTCTTGGCGGGCTTTGTAAACAAGGCACTTTACCCTATTCCGCTGAGCCTTATACCTATTTCTTGATTCAGTTGTCTTGTCCCTAAAATATGCTTTCCACAGCTTTTGCTTACGGTTTACTTCAACTTTTAGTGAACCCTTAAGCCATCGGGGCCTGCTGGTGATTTTCTTTTTCGACATAGGGCAGTATCTGGTGATAAGTTCATTCAGTATGGCCTTAAGTTCTAGCCAGTCCTTGAGGACACACCCCGTAAATGCTGCTTTCCAGTCTCTACGACGCATGTCGAGTCGCATTTGGTTGAAGTCACCACGCCATATGTTGCGTCTAATCACGATGCTTTGATCGGGTACAGAGAAGAGAGAATACTCCCACTGTAGGACTACATGGTCGCTTTTTCCGAGAGGGGGTAGACAGTTTACAACATCAACGCTTTCCGATGCCTTTGTCAATACAAGGTCTAGGCAGTAAGCTAGTTGTCCTTCACGTAGTCTGGTTGGGGATAAGACGTGTTGTGTGAGATGCGATCATTGCACAGAATTTAGGAGGCGGCGATCAAAGTTAAACTCTGAGCCCAGGGCAGAAGTCAGATTCCAGTCGATATTCGGAGCGTTAAAGTCGCCCATAATCATGACATTGGGTCGGAGGGAAATCGCTTCTAATTCCTCTAGTAGACTACTGTCTGATTGCGGGTCGCTCCTCAGTGGGCGGTAGACCGTCAGGATCTCGAAAGGTTGTGACCCCGGCGCTTTGACGGTGAGCCAAATCGTTTCAGTTGTGCGCGCGAGCTGTCCCTCTTTTTCTGACGCAAAAAGGCCATATTTGACATACACGAGCACACCTCCACCTTGACGTCCCAACCTGTCCTTTCTGAACAAGTGATAACCAGATAAAGCGACTTCGCGATCGTCTACGCTCGTGGACAGCCACGTTTCAGTTATGGATATAACATCGGGTAAGGTTTGGGCAACGTAGATTTTAAGCTCATCTAATTTAGATAGCAGACTTTGCGCATTGGAATACAAGCATTTTAGCTTTTTTTCCTTTGGTAAGCCGGCTATGACGCCGCCAATTGTCCCGGCTGTGGCGACATACGCACGGGCCGTGTCCATATGAAGCGGGACGGTCGCTCGATTATGCAGTTGTTGTAGATAACCAGGCCTTGTTCGCCATTCGTTTGTCACAGCCTTAGCTCCTGAACTAACTGTCGGCGTTTTATCCGCTCCGGTGGTGTGTAATCCGGCTGAAAAAAAACTCCTTGGTGGGAATATTTTAACCTAAAACGTCTTGAGAGGATGAGATCAACATGCTCTTTGCAACTCAGAACAATTTTAAGGGGCCTAGGATGCGGTGGAATAGCGGGTTCAGTGGAGCACTTTCCGAGTCTGAAGGCTTTCAACACGGAAATTTCTTCGTCGGGTTGAAGCAGTGTGTTTAGAAGACCTTGGAACAAGCCGAGATCAGCTAATACACGTTCTTTAGGTGTATCGGCTTGAGGCTCCTGAAGTCCCTGTATTACTAGGCACTGTTCTCGGAGCGGCCGGTCTTGGTTGCGCGATGTTGGTGACTTGGGAGTTCCTGGCGAACCATTCATGATGACATTCTGGTTGCCATCCACTCCAGGGATCTTTTCTGCAGCTAATGGTTTCGTGTTTGGGGCAATACTGCTCCTGTCTTTTATGTCAATACAGAGGATATTCGCATTTGCCGCGTCTGTGTCTACGCTGGCGCTGGAGGTTTCTGTCGATTGCTCAGACGAGCTCTGCTTTTCCACCCCAGGAAGTTCCTTCCTTGGGGTACTCCGAATTCGTCCGATTTCCGTCTCTCTCTTTTCAGTCATCAGTCCCCTTTGATTTAACTGCTTCTTTTGATGTGACCTCAGTTGCATGTGAACGGTCTGAGTCTTATTATTAATTCTTTGGTTCTCCTCGGTCACATTGCGGGGGGCAGTGAGCGTCTGCTTTCTGCTCTTCTGCGGCGGATTAATATCATGCCTTGTCATATTCTCCGCGATTTCCTCTGAGGTTTCCGTCCATGCAGTAGTTTTTTCTATGTCGAATCCTTTTACCTTCTTCTGTGGTGGAGATCGGACAGCTTCTACTCTGCCAGTGAGCTGGTCATTGTTCTTCAGCTGGGTAGTTATCAATGATGAGAGTGTACTGCCATTATCACTTCGCAACTTAGTTTGCGATTTTGGAGTGTCGTTTATCATCGCTCTTGGTGAGGGTGAGGCTGTATGTTCATGTTTCCGTTTACCTTTTCTCTTAGCACTCTGTTTATTTCTGCAGCCAGCGATCTCCTGAAACGGTGATCCCTCTACTAGTGGGTTGCTGTTAGTCAACTCTGTCAGTTTCGAAACTATCTGTTGTCTACTGCTGAATTCATCAACTGACTTGAATTTATCATAATTTAGTAACAATGCAAAGAGATCTATAAGGAGGTTCATGTTCGTCTCCAACGACGTAATGTTTAACGCGAGATCTCGACAATATTTACACCGCGAACCACAATTTGAAGGTTCATCATCTGGTAGAAAATCTTGTGTATGCGTGGCGAATTTCCCGGGATAATTTGCGTCGCCGGCCACCTCCGTCCTGTTTTGAACCACTTCTGGCGTACTGTGTTCGTTAGATCCTCCCTGCCCGGCGTGAATCGACGCTGGTCCGCATGGAGTTGCTAGTGCACTATTTTCATGGCAAAATCCGACACATTCCCCAACCGTGGGGCTAATGCAATTAATATTCTTTGAGGTCATCCTCTCGGTGCCGATGGCCGAGGGGTCTATGCGTTCGCCTCGTGAGGCGATGGTCGGAGGTTCGACTCCCGCTCCCCACGCCCTTTTTTCATCCCGTGGGACTGATGGATCGTACACTTCTACATTTCCCATGTCTCAATGCGCCAAAGTCAAGGATACAACAACGGCCGAAAGGTTGGCAGCAGAAAACAGACACAATCAAAAGAAGGCCTAAGGCTTTCAGATGTCACGGAAGCTTTAGGCAACGGAAATCTAAGCGAATGCTTCGAGACTTCAGACAACAGAAACCTAGTCGAATTTAACGGCACTACAGTTAACAGAAATTTAAGCTAATGCTTTGAAGCAAAGGTACAGCTAAAGTCTAATTTCAAAGTGAGACTCAGCCTTTGTTCTAAGCGTTTCGTTTGCTGGAAGATTGGTCTTTTTAGGCTCGTATGCAGAACTGGTAGTGTCGAAGTCCACGTTCTGCAAAGGTGGTGTCGTAAATTGATGACGATGCGAATATTGCTGTCTGTGAATCAATTTTCTAAAATCCGTTTGACTGCAGGAGCATCCAGAGTGCGGAAATCTCGAAGAATATTAACCCCACGGAGGACGAAAATTTGAAACCAAATTCGAAACGCGCGCGCGCGGACGTGGCGCGACGTCTCGGAGGTTCGACCGACAAACCCTATTTGACGAGTGGAAGAAAGGGTTTTGTAGAAGGTTCACAGTCGCAAGTATCATAGATTTGTCGTTATTTATATCAGAGGGCAAGGGAAAAGCTTTAGAATTGGAACGGATAAGAACAATAACGGTACAGCCTGAATGCTATGAAAAGCTACGTGACATCACAATGAGGTTATAGTAGTCGCAAATTCTTATTTTTTAAATAGACGAACATCTGTGGGCTAGCGTTATTTCTCTTTTAAGCGACTTTATTTTTATATTCAAAAATCTTTAATGTCAGGTCTAAAGCGCTATTTAATCTTGGGGAAGCAGAGAGATCGTCAGATGTTTTGGGTTATTCAGCAAAATAACAGTATTGCTGGACCTATGCACCTTGGGTTTTCCAATTACTCCAAGCCAGGTGGTTACTGACACAGTTCTGCAGCGGCTTAAGCGAGCTATTAACAACTCGCGCGCTCTTCATTTTTGAAGCTGATACGCGGAAAACACAATGCATTCCTTATAATCAAGGAAGCGCGGAAGGATAAAGTAAAAGCCGACTGCCCTTATTTTGTTTATTAACAAAAACCACAACCGAGAGTATTAGATCGATGAAAACATAACACATCCTTCTTTTAAAATGTTATCGACTGCTAACCACAAGCACAGTTGTGCTAACAATCTCTACCGGTGGTTCACGCACACTGTAAAGATAGCAACTAGAAGGGCAGAGAACCTATTAAATAACATAACCTAAACGGAGCTAGCTGTTGCTTTAGTTGTTTCTTGCGTAACTGACTTAAACAGTCACAATTTGAACAATCAAAAGGCAGAAAACCGAAATTCTGACTCGCAAAGTCCTAGATATAGGAGGTCTCGGTGACAACGGCATGCATTCTGAAGCCCTTTTGATTTGGTGCGACCGTTAAATCGGAATCCGTCGCCAACCATTTAGTGGTGAGGCCTAAATACCTGTTACCGGATGCGGGACAATCAGCAATTGTCCACAGCGACCCATTTCAAACGTGCGATGAGGTGAGTGTTGGTACGACTAGCAAACGCATCTTAAGAGGAATGCGTTAGTAACAGGCTGTAGTCAACGGCAAATGACGGTAACACATGACGACGCGAAGTTCATCGACCGAATGAGCGAAGAGACGAACAGATGATGCTCATAAGCAGATCCTCGGTTGATTAAGTTGCTAGAATTCAAGCAATCGGCTTGAAACATCTGCTACACATTCAGCGTAAGGCATTAAATTTAGCTATGAAATGCTCACGCAATGAGTTGCGGTACAATATGATTGTGCGCTTAAGGCGACCGATGCATTTTTGAGCAACTCGTTTTCAGTCAGAATGCCAGGGAGACTCGTACATGCATCTGACGCAAATCCCTTGGTGACCATTTGAACTGCGATTAAATGATCGCCTTATTTCTGGTACCGTCGTGTTGGCAGCACACTAATTTCAAGCGTGATGTTGCATTCGTCAGTTAGAGGAAATTGTTTAAAGTTTTAAATAATCTAATGGTCGATTGGTATCTTTATCGTCTGATCTCCTAGCCGAATGTTTGGGTGGTGAAGGCGGTAGATTTTAGAAGTGACTCCACAAAACATTCGTCTCGTTTGGCGGTGTAGTTAATGAACTTAGTAGTTGCCTTCTATGGAGCAAGTCATCAAAGCGTTTTTTCAACTATGCAAGAGCGAAATATTACAACTGCACATTGCCGTGGTGCCTATGATGGATTTTTAATGCACTATAACATTTGATTGGTCAAAGATGTTTAAATAAATATGTAAAATATGGAGACTATTGTACTTCTTGATGGGATTGGAAAGGCGTGACTAACAAGATTATGATCTACGCAGCGCAGTTGTTTCTTATTTGCTCACTGGCAAGCATCTTTGCATATCATTCAGAAACAGGTAACAAGGGTTTTTAAAAATCAGCATTTTTTTCTTAAATAGTAAATGTTGGCTTATTGTTCGACTTTCATTTCCGCACTTTCAGATATAACAGCGAAAGTGTTTCACATGCAACTACACATATTTATGACACATCATCCAACAAATGTATGGTTAACACTCACACTAATATAGTCAGATTAGTTTATGTGTTTGAGAATCTTGACTGTAAATCCGTTCACAAAACTCGGACAGTTAACTTAAAACGTCAAAGTTGACTTGGAACGCTTATCTTTTAGGATTGTATACGTCGGTTAGTTTTAAATTACCAAGAGAATTACGAAACAGAATTGTACAAGCGAGTTCAGGACATGCGTTTTCTAGGCACTCTGCGCAGAACCAGATTCCAGTTTGGCAAGCAAATTATCTACACCAGTACTTAGATCTTTTATTTCAGCAACAGTTGTC